GCCTTATCCAGGCGGGATAAGCAATTCGATGATTTTCCCTGCAGTGAAAACACTGCACTCACAAAACAACTTTGTACGCAGCGCTACCTACGTCTAAAATATTTATTTAATTACTTCCCTAAGTTCTTATTCATACCTCTAAAATGACACAAAATCGAATAATAATAATACTGTACATATATTATTTCCATTAATCCTAAGCCAACATAAAACATGTGCAAATATATGTGATATTTATGAAATACACACAACTGTTTACAAAAGACCGTGATGAACTCATAAGCGTGTATAATCAAACTGAATACTCAAACAGATCTGTATTATGTTGTAAAGATCCGGACATGGGCCAACAAGGCGGGGATTAACAGTGCCAAGTCATTCGGAAGAATTGTTTAACGCTATCCAAATAGCGGCATTTGAAACGCGAAAAGACCCACTAAGCAGATAATTTTCGAAGATTCCAGCTTATGAACCGTCAATCAACTGAGTGAATGTGAATGAAGATTTCTACGTGGTGAGGATAACAATACCACCATTGATGTCGAGACCTGTTCAAATACAGCCTACGTTACCTCCGCATTCGCTCGACCGACACTCAACTTATAATGTGAACACTTGCTCTTAGTCATTTACCTGAATTTAGGCAGGATCATCTAATAAATTATTAATCATTTCACCGTAATAGAATTTAATGCCTAGTTCACTCAATAACAGTAAAGAATATTTAAATCATCATCAAATTCATAAACTGTTTTAAAACTTAAAATATGAAAATATCTATATCAAGACGTGTCGACACGTGTATGACCTGTTGTAGATAAAAATTGATAATCGTATTAGGACGTATTTAGTAGATACCTAGATCACCCATAATGTAAAACATCTAATACAATGAATGCAGACTTTTTTAATTTGTCCGTGAACTAGTAGTACAGACGCTTGCGGAATAATTTCTCCACCGCTGTAGACTGTGCTCTACTACTTACCGATATAAATAGGCAATCAATGTATCAGAGGTCAGTTACAACCGGACTTCCTCTCAGGTCTTATCGGGGAAGTTAAACTAACATATTAATCATGAGGGTGCTTCTAGTACTTGGTGTGCTATGCCTAGCGGCACTGTGCTCCGGATACGAGGACAAGAGCGACGACCTCGCAGTCGCTGCCTCCGGCCACCATCACGAACATGGCGGCGGACACGAGCATCACGCACATCATCATCATGACCATGGCGGCAAGGGGCACAAGGGACATAAGGGACATCACCACCACCACAAAGGCGACCACGGTCATCATGGCAAGCACCACCATGAGCATCACCACCACGAGCACGGCGGCGGCCACAAGAAGCACTGGGATGAGCATGACCACCACGGTGAACATCATGAACACGGACACCACCACAAAGGCGACAAACACGGCCACAAAGAGCACCACGACAAGGGCGAACATGTCGACGGATACCACAAGAAATACCACAAGGACCACTTCCACAAGGACCATCACTTCCATGACGGCCACCACCATGAGGGCAAGCACCACAAACATGACCACCACCACAAGCACCATGAGGGTCATGGCGGACACCACAAGAAGGGAGGCCATCACCACTCCGGCCACCATGAGGGACACCACGGCAAGCATGGTCACCACGACAAGCACCACTATGACGAGGACCACCACGGACACAAGGGCCACCACGGACACGACGAACACCATCACCACCACCACGACCATGGCAAAAAGGGCGGCCACGAGGACCACAAGCACTGGGGCTTCCACCATGGCAAGCACTGATAATGTTATATTCCCTGATTGTTATGAATTTCTATTGTTAAAAATGGAAATTGTTATTGTTATTTGTTCATATTTTTATACGAAGTAAAACAGTTTTTCTTAAATATGTTATGGACTTGATTACTCCTCTTCCTTTCCCGCCTAAAAATTATGAAAATGTTATGTGTATAAGTACCTAAATATACCAAATAATACTTGCAACATAATTATTACAAACTAAACAGTACACATTTGTAGAGCGAAATGTCTCACACCAATCAATAGAGAAGTAGCTTCTTACCTGAGTAAATCATGTTTAGTAGGATTAATAGAGCATGGCTTTTTTTGTTGGTTTTCATTGAATGAAGATAATAATTTGCAGTATGTACCTATCTAAAGGAGGACATGATATGAAGGTACTACCTACTTGACCTACTTATTAAAAAGGTATATAGGTATAATACAAACGTGAGCCAAGAACTATAAATACATATCGTACCTAAATAACTACCTACATAAAAAAACGGTAATGGCCCACCACTAGAGAGTCACCTGACTACACTAACTACTACGATCCTTGATCTACTTCTTCAGCTCCCATCTGGTGATAATGGTATTGTAAATTGTATAAAGGTTAAACGCACAAAAACATAAATTATTATCATTAAAAGCATTTCAAATTTTTGCCAAGAAAGTACCTAGTTTTATGGGACACCCGCAACGTCAGGAAAGTCACACACGAGAGCGTTGGCAGAATTATTCGAAGGCGTTAATAAGATTAAGGCTTTGATTTATGATCGAAGATGGCCCTCTATACAATCCTCTATACTATAATTTAATATACACACATCCTTGATCGCTACAACGTGGTACAGCCACACTATGGCAAACAACGTTATTGTTTCTAAAAGTTTTTTATTTCTCGAGTGGTAAATTGAAACTACACAACTAACAAACATATATAACAATCTGCCGATAATCATCATCAGCATGTAACTGACCCACTGAAAAAACATTAACTCAAGGCGGATCAGAGGCCTTAGTACGAGTTTGATTTACGTTTAAAGTATTCGAAACGAGTATGCCTTCGGCATTCTGATTGGCCGGCGTCAATGAAGCAACCAATCACAGCACCAAACGCGTACTCGTTACGATTACTTTAAACGTTAAACAAACTCGTACTAAGGCCTCAGGTTCGTTTACCTATAATATTGAAGATTATAAGTACAAGTGATGACTGCACGGTTGGTGCGGTGGCTGGGTAACTGGGCAACTGGCTGCCGCACACAAAGAGTTATTTCCACACGGAACAACTCTTTGTGTGAAATTGTATGTTTGTCAACGCATCCACGACATAGGAGAAAATCCTAGTGTGGAACAAAGTTTTTTTTTAAATTACTTGGAAGTCACATGGTACTTACTTGCCAGGTTCCAAACCCGTATATTTGAGAACCACGCCACGCTAAACATTTTTACTGACATTCAAAAGTGTCTTCCTATGGTCTAATTTAAATAAATTACTTTTTTGACTTTTATTAATTAATAAAATTAAAGACTTTTTTGACGCCCCTACAGGCCTACAGTGATGACAACGACTACGACCTAGAAGTCGTATAGACAACTGAAAACTTTTCAAGACATGTCTCACATGTTTAACGCATCATCGCGATTTGAGTAATTTTCAAATCAATGTATTGTGCGAGTGGAACAATTCCCACTTAAGAATAAATTAAACCAGGGAGTTAAGCATGTTCATAATGTTCCATATTTTCTTTCGTGAACATAATATCACGCCCTAATTTCCTTAAATGTAGGCAGATATTAAGTTGCATATTAAGTTTAGCACACTATTTATGACAGTTGTGTATGTTATATGATTTAGATACGTGTGTGATTAGACACGTGTCATGTAATAGAAGGTAAGCCGATCACCACAACAATATCCATATACTGGATACCACACCCTGTTCCATGCAACTACTTAGCAAAACTAAAGTACTTTTTCCGACCCGGGAATCAAACCCGAAAGACAGTCTTGCGATAACATTAGAAATTAGGTACGTTTAACAGAACTATTTTCGAAAGCTGTAGAAATCATAAACACATTTTATGACATAAGTACTTAGGTAGCTATTAAATATTATATGATTGAAGTAGTGGTTGGATAAATAGCTGCAGGTAATCGAGTCACAAGACGAGGTTGATTCTTACACGGAATAATAATTCTATGTGTGGTTCACACACCTTTGTTCCGCGCCGGGTATGATCTTCAGGCGACTGGAGAAAGTTACGAACTGTAAACATTTGTTTTAAAATATTAGCAGATTGCAGCAGTTTTAAAATATAGGGACGTAGGTACCTAACTTTGTATATAGGCCACTATACTCACTGGCTACCTAGTTCTAGCTACCATGTGTTCAATTATGCAATTGTGAATTATGATCATGAAACGCAGTTTTGATTACCACACTAAATAAAATGGGTGTTTTTTAGAGAATCTTTTTATTAGATTTTTTTTTCTTTACTCCATACTAGCATTTTTCACTGTGCCGTGGTTGCGTTTACAAAACATACAAGTTCACATACACTTAACACCCGGAACAACAATTTGTGGATCACACAAAGAGTTGCTCCGTGCGGGAATCGAACCTGCGACACGTTGCGTGTCAGCCGGTTGCCCACCCACCGTACCGCACCAACCGTGCCGTCAAGACGAAATCTACATCGTAATTGGTCAAATTGAAGGAACTCAGGTCCCTGAGTTTCTCAGAATAAGGACAGCCTTACCAGAGCGTGCCTTTTTTAATGTTATGTAGTCTGTACATAGCTTTGCATTGCGGCATGGGCCCAACAGGGTAAATCAGTGATGTATGTATACATACAGAATATTCTGAGATTTTTTAAATCTTGTACACGAATGTAAGATGCTAAGTAGGTACCTATAGGTACAGTCATACTACAAAATTTTGATCTATAACTTAGAAATGATACAAAGCAGGCACTAACCAGTATAACATTTAGTCACTTACAATGATTGTTTATGAATTAATTACTTTTTTTTACTATTTTGCGTAGACAGTTAGACATGTCGCAATGGTAAGGCGTAACGCGTTCCAAGCTGGCCGGCGTGGCGTCCTTGTCGATGGTTTCACCGACTGCAACCCGCAAATCTAATGATATAAAATGCTGACACAGGCGGTTCAAAGGCAGTTCGGTCCAAGTAGTCCAATCCATAAGAAATATTGTAGTATTAAACAATAACAATGAGGTCGCTAGTCGCCCTAGCCGTGCTAGCATGTGTCGTAGTAGCTTGTTCAGGGCGAGAGGAGCAGCAGGGAGACCTAGTCGCCGCGGCCAGCCACCACGGTCATCATCACGAAGAAGGCGGAGGCAAGGAGCACCACTCGCATCACCACCATGAACATGGAGAAAAAGGGCACAAAGGTCACAAAGGACATCATCATCATCATAAAGGAGAACATGGTCATCACGGTAAACATCACCATGCGGGTCATCATCACGAACATGGAGGACATCACAAAAAACACTGGGATGAGCACGACCACCACGGCAAACATCATGAGCATGGACACCACCACAAGGGCGGCAAACATCATCACAAGAAACATCACGATAAAGGCGAAGAAGTTGAAGGCTACCACAAGAAATACCACAAAGACGAGTACCATAAAGACCACCACTTCTACGATGACCACCACAAGGAAGGCAAGCATCACAAGCACGGCCACCACCACGGGCATCACGAGAAACATGGTGGACATCACAAGAAAGGCGGACACCACCACTCCGGTCATCACGAAGAGCATCATGGCAAGAAAGGACATCATGACAAACACCATTACGATGAAGACCATAAGGGACATAAGGGCCACCACGGACACGAAGAACACCACCACCATCATCATGACCACGGCAAGAAAGGTGGTCACGAAGATCACAAACATTGGGGATTCCACCACGGCAAGCACTGATAATATAAGATTGTTTTTTATAATACTATGTTACTATATGAATTACCTCGTTGTAAATAAATGAAAGTTAATTTAAAACAAACGTGTTTCGTTATTATAGTAAATCAATAAGCCAAAGTGGTACATACTCTAATTAGCTATCGATCTATCGGAACTAATTCAGTTTAACCATAACGTGATGTCGTCACAGACACCGCAGCGCAGCCGCCGCCGAATCAGTCGTCCAGAAATCTGCAGCAATGATTACCAAACACCACTTTGTAATCGACATCAGATGAAAGCGATCTAATCTATAAATTCAAAGTGCGGAAACAGTTTTGACACTCTTAACGTAGCTTTGGTGACGGCTACGTCTCTAGTCGAGCCAAACAAAGTGAGTAGAACACTAGAATTTGGAAAACTATTACATGCTATACGTGTTTGAACGTATGAAAGAATAGTTGTTTAAAATTTATTAACAGTTAATAACTTATTTTTTCAGTCATGAGGCTCTCATTCCTGATACTACTATTTTCCGCGGTGCTACTAACACACGCGCGTAATGTAGCAAATCAAAAAGGTGATAAAGATGACGCAGCCAACGCTGCCACTCAACTAGCAGCAACCACAGGAGGCGACCTCTCAGTCGCTGGCAGTGCATCTGCAGACCAAGCGATTGCCGGCACTGAACACAAAAAGGCCAAAGACAGCCACCACGAACAAGGAGGCGGGCATGAACACCATGCTCATCACCATGAGGAACACGGAGATAAAGGCGATAAGGGATACAAGTCGCATCATCATCATGATAAAGGCGAACATGGACATCATGCGAAACACCACCACGAAGGACATCACGACGAACACGGAGGACACAAAAAGAAGCACCACGATGAGCACGATCATCATGGTGAACATCATGAGGCCGCGCACGGACACAAAGGCGGCAAATTTGGACACAAAAAGGGTCACAAAAAGGGTTCGAAGACGACTGGTTTTCATCATAAATCCCATAAAGACGAATATCACAAGGAACACAAATTCTACGACGACTTCCACAAGGGTGGACACCATCACAAACACGGCGACTTCCACGGACATCATGACAAAAAGGGAGGTCACCACAAGAAAGGCGGTCATCACGAAAAGGGACACCACGAGAAACACCACGGCAAGAAGGGACATCATGACAAAGGGCATTATGATGAAGACCACAAGGGACACAAGGGTCATCATGGGCACGAAGAGCATTTCGCACATCACCACGACCACGGAAAGAAGGGCGGACACGCTGGCGGAAAGGAACATGGTTACAGTCATGCAAAGAAATCGTAAAGAAAATACCTACCCAGTTTATTATTATTTGTTTAATTGCGTTTTTGTTTTTTGTTATATTTTTCAAGTCATTGTATATAAAAAAATTACGTAAGAATAAATAATTTAATTAAAATTATAATTTATTTCTCATTTTAAACAAACATAATTAGTTAATATAGAAAATTGCATAAAAATCTTTAGAACAACATACTTGATACTAAGTACCTACTGTAACTTTTTTTTATATATTCTTGTATCTTTTTCTATACATATTCTTATATCTTCTTAACAATAAACTCAATTTACAATGTAAACAAGAATAACTGAAAGTAAATCAAGTTGACAATTGCACAAAAAGTGAATAATAAACATAACATAGTTTGTGATGGAAGCAATCAGAGCAAGAAATGACACAATATCTGTATTTTATTTAGAATTTATTCAATACAAAGTTGCATAAGATTTACAACAGAGCCATCAATGGAGCTAGATGGTCGAATTCAATCTTCTCAGTAATGTTCTTAGTCTTAATGTTTTCATCCTGGTTGGCAATGAAGATCAAGTTACCATCATCTCTCCAGCCATACTTTTTCACCCAGTGTTTCAATGTCACATCTAAAATAAAATTATAAAACATGAGTATCTATTTTCTAATGGTGCATAAATGTGTCAGAGATCATGTAATAAATAAAATGTAACAAAATTGCGTAATTGGATGTTTCGTCAACATTTTATTTATTTTATTCAATTACAGAAACTTCAGCCTGTGTTTTTGCTAAAAAAAATATATTTATAAGATACTGACCATCTATGCCTCCCAACAAGTTAGCAAGGTTGTTCTTGTCAATGGTCTGAAATGTAATGCCAACAACATGGCACACAAACTTTCTGATAGAGTCATGGAACCCACTGATACGGTTGCAGAGTTCTGGCATCTGGTGTACTCGGTTCCAAAACTGAGCAAAGTCACATTGCTCTAAAATATCAGCCAAATATTTGATCTGTGAAATTGTCTCATTTTCCACCTAGAAATGTAATGGTTACATATTACATCTATGACTCAACAAGTTTACTTGAAATCCCATTTGTAGTACATTTTTTTGATATCCTTTTTATTTAAACCTGATTTATATAATTTTAAAATAAAATATTTAATTACAATCAACAAACTAGTAAAAAAATATTAAATTTACTTACAACAGACTCCAAAAGTAGACATTTGCACAGAGTAAAATCTGTGTGTGGGAAATTAGTCAAAGCTTTCAACAGAATTTGGCATGTGATGTCTGCATTGAACTTCTCTGGATTAAATTGGTACAGTTTTAAAACTGCCAGATTTGCCTCTAAATCATAAGTATTCTCGCGGGACTGCATTTCAACATACCGCTCTAAAGTCTGAAGATTCGCAGGATTGTATCTACAAACAAACACATAAATTCAAACATGCAGTAAAAGATGATTAACAATTCGTTTGTGTGTTAAGATAATAGTTGTTCTAACTCTATAGTAGTGAGAAATTAGGTTGACAAATCCAAATGTGGTTTGTAACTTACACAAACCTGGTAGTGGCTACTTCGAAAAATACATAACCTTAACCAAAACCGATAATATGCATGGTTGTTTACCTTTCAATACTTTTTAATATAGTGGCAACAGTTTGCTTCATTGTTTCAGCCATTGTAAGGCATGTATTATTAATTTCAGCAGTTGTTTCAAAATACACAGTTTAATTACAATTCCATCAAGGTAAGCGTGGCGTTAAAAAGTAATCATGACATTTGACTGAAAAGTGACATAACGTGACAATAAATATTGACCATTGACAACTTCAGCCTGTAGACACTTGATAGATTGCGCAAGTTATGGTTAGTCTATTGTTCAAGGGCAGAAAATGAATATGTTAATGAATAGTCATGCATGTTTCTTAAGCATTTTCTATATCATAGTTCAACACTAAAGGATAAACGTCACATGTATACATACTTCTATGATCATAGAGTTTATCTATGATTCGCTGACTTTTCCCATTAATTGACATTGACAATTGACAAACTTCGACTTCGTTCGTTCGTTTTCCAAAGTTTTATGGCGGTGGGGACGGGAGAACATTCTTCTCCGAACATAAATAAATACATAAAATGAGTGCTAAATAACATTATATTTGATAATAATACAGACTTACAATTTACCTTTACATTAATAATTTAAGATAAGTGTGGTTAAAAATAAGTGTAAAAGACATAGATATCAGTATAATTGACTAACCAGTCTTAAACAAACTTCAAAATGGATCAAATGCTACCGAGTCCGTACAATATACCTGGTATTGATACTCCGTTGCATCAACCAGAGGAGGATCAACAAATTTTGCCGAATGCTATGCAACAGCAGCATCAGCACCAACAGCAACAACAACAACATGCCCTTGCAGCCATGGGTTCCTCTCCGCTGGTCGGGTTTGGCGCCTCACTAATGGGGACTCCTCAGAGATCAGTTCATACCTACGCACCGGCTGCCAGCTATGCTACACCCCAACAGATGATGCAGCCACAAACACCAGTAACTATATCTATTAATTCACTTATAATACAAAACAAGCATGATATTTTATATATCATATCAGAAACTTATTAACATCACATCACAAGTTTTTATGCCTCTTGTACAAATTATAATTTTTTACTTGACTACATATTATTTTCAGCAAAACTTAATGTCACCTATGATAACAAGTGGCAGCTTGGCTGGTCAACAAATGTTAAGCCAGGCAAGTCCAGCACCAATGACTCCCATGACACCTCACTCAGCTGACCCTGGCATTGTACCACAGTTACAGTAAGTACTCATAGCAAATACTGTGAATGGAATAGAAATCCAATTTAAAATCATTTAATAAATAAATATTGTTATCTAAATTACCATAGACCTCATTCACAAAATTTAAATAAAACTATCGTACTTTTTTTTCAGAAATATTGTCTCCACCGTGAACCTCAATTGTAAATTAGACCTGAAAAAAATTGCCCTACATGCCAGAAATGCAGAATATAACCCAAAGAGATTTGCTGCAGTAATTATGAGAATAAGAGAACCTCGAACTACAGCACTGATATTTTCATCAGGAAAGATGGTTTGCACAGGGGCCAAAAGTGAAGAAGATTCACGTTTGGCTGCTAGAAAATATGCTAGAATTATTCAGAAACTAGGCTTTACAGTAAGTAAACATTTAATTAGTTACTTATTCAAAGTACTGCTAAATTAACTAATTCATAACCACAACTAAAACTGCATTTGTGAGGTTTTATAAAGTAATTGATGATATTTTTTTATTTTCAGGCTAAGTTTTTAGACTTTAAGATCCAGAATATGGTTGGAAGTTGTGATGTTAAGTTTCCAATTCGCCTTGAAGGCTTAGTACTGACTCATGGACAGTTCAGTTCGTATGAACCTGAATTATTTCCTGGACTTATTTATAGAATGGTTAAACCTAGAATAGTATTATTGATTTTTGTTTCTGGTAAGGTCGTGTTAACCGGAGCTAAAGTAAGAGAAGAAATATATGAAGCATTTGATAACATTTACCCAATATTGAAAAGCTTTAAAAAGCAATAAGTGTGAATGTTTGAGTGCTTTAATTAAAATAAATGTTTATCTATTTTACAGATTTAAAATTGCGGTTTTATTTAGGGACTCCCTTAATTTATTTACTTTTCCTGTAATAAAATAAAAGACATGATATATCACTATGATATGTATGTGATGTATTAATTTTATGTAGTGTGTTCTAAAATAAGTGGTAAAACCATTAGAATGATGAATAGGTACACAATACTTTTCACGTGCGAAAAGCCTTCTGTCGCTAATGATTTCAAGTTTAAATCGCCATCTTGCATTAAGCAAGCGTAGTGACTAGTGCCCCCTATACTTATTACTCTTTGACTAGTGCTCAAACCTACGCATGAAACGAGGCCTTTGGTCAACAGTAGCCACGTATAGACCGTTGATGTGATCTAATTATTATTCTCTAATGATTAAACTATTTATTTATTTAAGTTTATACAATACAATTGCATAAGGAGGACTTAATGCTAACAGCATTCTCTGCCAGTCATCCTTTGGGTAGTGCAGAAATGTATGTGGTAGGTGGTAAGCTGCAAAAATGTTA